AAACTCATTCTAGTAGGAAAAACAACATCCACTAGAGGAAACAAAGCAAAAAGATGAATCCAAACAGTTCTTTCTTCCTAAGCTCTATAATACGGACACGTAAGTATTAATATAATAAGCATTGAGGAAAACAAGTCAACTTTTCCTGTTTATGAGGAGATGAAGACACACTTTCCTTCTTGGAATGTACAAGCCAAATCACAAAGGTATATTGTGATATCAGAGAGAGAGAGAGTTTCCCTCCAGAGCTTGGACTCTCAAGTTGTTAAAGGTAAAATACTTTCAGTCAAATGTGGGTAAGTCTCAAAGCTTCCCCAGTCACCTCTCCCTACAAATCCGAAGCCCAGGAATCAACCCCTATAGACTTCTAATATATTTACTTAATCAGAATTTATGTACTCTTGATTATCTATCATCCAGATCACCCAGCACCTAATCTTCTTTCTCTTCTTTCAATTCCTCAGACTCATATTAACTGCTTTCTGTTGGGTGCTAGAGATACGAGGATGAAGACACTCAGATCTCTGTTCTCAAGTTTCTTACAGCTGTCTCTTCTTGCTAAGCCTTAGGCACATTTCTCTGCTCATGAATAAACTAAACAAAAACCCATCCGCTGTCAGAGTGACCCCCTGGGCGGAAGAGAACTGATCCTTAGGGTTTCCAAGACTGTAAATCTTTATAGGAGCAGATTGTTTTATCTTTCTCCAATCCTTTCCTCGATCAGCAGCAAGACACTTGAACTGTTTACCACCAGAGCCTATGGCTGTCCATTAATGTTACCCTTCAAAAGGTGGACATAAACTAGGCCCAGAAATTATCAGGACTCTAGTTAAAATAAAAACAAGGTTTTGTGGGAGAGAGGGTTAGATCTAACCATCAAAAAAGAGCTTTTAGATTAGCTGTGGATTCCATTTCATCCATCCTCTAGTTGGGCCCTCTTTCCTGGGATTATTGAATGTTGATAATAGCAACAAAGAATACGTTCTATCCTTGGATCTTTTTTTACTAGGGCTTCATTTCCCCATCCCCCCATCCTTTTCCTCCACAGCTGCTGGCTTCAGGCTGATTACTTTTACAGCTATGCTCTATATTTTGTATTAACAACCAGTCACCTCTTTATTTCCCTCTCTCAATCCCACCATACTGAAGAAAACCAAGACTTAAAAACAGTCAGCTGCTTCCTGTGAAAGCAAAACAAAAACACTTCTTACAATCACAAATATCATCTTCTCATTAAAAAAAAAATATCATGGCAAAACGAGAATCAATTCTGTAGAGTCTCACTTGATGATGAATAAGTGATTTTGAAAAGCAAGAAACCTACTGTAATATAATAAATACTACACTGGGCAAAGACCATGCCAAAGCAAAATGAAGCCAAATTGTTGATGAGGGCCGGGGGAGGATGGTCTTCCACAGAGGTGCCTCTAGGGAATGTGCCATGAGCACCTCTTGAAGAGGGGATTCCACTGAGCAGTTTCTAGTAACGCAGTATAACCCAATGTCCTCCTCATGCATAGCAGATACAAAGACATGGGAGGAAAGAGGAATGGACAGAGGAAAGATTTGCCCCCCGGCACAAGTTCAAGGAGACACTGGAGTACGGCATGCCATCCTAAGGGGCCACATATACAAAATACGCCTGATGGAGGCAGGTAGATAAGAAGGGGCAAGGTTCTACTGACGCATCACCACTAACAACATCCATTCATCTTTTTTTTATTCCTCAAACTGTAAATTTTTTCAATGGATATTTTAATGAAAGTTTACAGAAAACTTGGACTTCCTTTCATACATCGTTGCACATTTTCCTCCCTACCCTGCCCCCATAGTTCACTTTTCTCTTTAACAAGATTCTTTCATTGTTATATAACATCCAATCATCTTTCCGTGTAAAGACAACCTGCAGTGATTATTACCCCTCCTACAACCTCGATCTTCCAAACTTCTTGGGCATTGTTTTATGCTGAAAATTATTGTCTCCCCTCCCTCGTCATTGCTGCACATGCCCCAAGGGTTCCTGATCAGCTGTTTAGTTTTGGATGAGAAATCTGGTTGGTTCCTGAAGACAGTCTAGACCACTGAGAGACCCAAAAGTGCCATACAAACTTGAACACTCTCATAGCCAAGAATTCAGTCCACTTCCACCAGGCTGCTTCTCATGAGCCCAATTATGAAAATTAACTAGCAATGTTAATAAAAATGGAATTGATTATGCCATTGAGAAAACAGAAAACAGGATGAGAAGGAGGACAGAATGAGAAAGTAAAAAAGGGCACATTTTGGAGAAAATGGAGAAAAGAATACATAAATACCTAAGAATAAATACAAAGAAAATAAATGCTGAAAGCGAGTAAAAGCACATGTCTCCTTCAAAGGAAGACTTGCTCATCTTTCCTCTTGGGGATGGATGGATGGAAGGATGGATGGATGGATGGGTGGATAGGTGGATGGATGGATGGATGGTGCTGATGTACCATCAAGCAGAACTGACCTACCGCTGAACCTCCAGCAGGCTTTGAGACAGCAAATCACACAGGAGGAGGTTGTGGATACTGGTACTGGACTACACTTACCATCCTTCCCTAATGCAGTGAGTGGTTTCTAGGTATTGCTGTTTAGATGTTGGCCACCAACTTAGAGCAACATCAGGCAGCAGAGATCAAGCTGCTGTCCAGTCCCGTGCTGTCTCCAGGACAGGTGGTGGGTCAGACAGCTGTGACCCACTGGTTTTCCACTGGCCGTTCATTTGGAAGTCTATCACCAGGGTTTTCTTCCTGGTTCAAGCTATGCTGAAAACTAATCATCAGAACAGAATGCAACTAACCTCGGACAGATGGATGGAGACTTCACATGAGGTACGCTGGCCCACAACAGAATCCAGGTCTCCTGCACAGGAGGCAAGAATTCTGCACCAAAGGCCCTGGCCCCAGCCACACCACTTCTAAATTAAATCTTGTTGGGCAACCATTGTTCTATTAATGCTTCTCATTAAACAATGCCTGTGGAATCTATACAAAAGGATAACAGAAGATGAAATCTTCTACTAAAGATTAAATGTTCTTCTAAAACATCTACTCTGTGCAGAGGCCAACATAGAGGCTTCTACTCCCATATCTCTGGTAAAGATCTGGCTGGGTATTTTCTTCTCCAATTCTTTTCATTTCAAAACTTTCACAAAATTGAAAGATGCACCTTTTGGGGTGAGTTTTAAAATTATTTTAGGCCTTTCCAAAGATGCATGCCAAATAAACTATCTCAACACAGACACATCCATTAATGAAAACAGCCATGCCCGAAACACAAATTTATAAAAATGGGTCAGATGAATGAGCAGCTAAATCTGAGAGGTTCTTATTCAACTTCCTAGGGAAATAGGTCATTCGATACCTTAATTCTTTTTCTCTGGGTCACTGCTCTCAACAACTATGACTGTTACACTTCCTTCACCGTCTACCTGTGTTCAAGTTGAGAGCATTTTTTTTTTCTTCTTTTTTATATGGAACGCTTCACGAATTTGCGTGTCATCCTTGCACAGGGGCCATGCTAATCTTCTCTGTATCGTTCCAATTTTAGTATATGTGCTGCCGAAGCGAGCACAAGTTGAGAGCATTTTTAATTAAGAGGAAAACCAACAGAGAGATAATATCTTATTTGTTACATGTGTTCATTCACACAAGATCCAGATAATTAGGAGTCTTTAATGTAGGAAGAAGAGTTACTATTTAGTTTGTGAGCTAAATGATTTACCTTGTACTTTAGGCAATTTGGAGAGGAAAAAAAGCCCCCACTATTAAAAAAAGATATTTACATATACACACAAGTATCATGAAGAATGTATACCTCTACAAGGATAAAGCCCTGGAGGTAAGAAGGGGTTGTTGTTGTTGCTGTTCACTGTTGAGTTAGAGATGACTCACAGCTGACCCTCCAGTGAGTTTAGGAGGTAGTAAAGCACACGGGAGGAGACAGCACATCTTTCTCCTGCGGAGCAGCTGGTGAATTCGAACTGCAAACTTTTGGGTTGGGAGTGCAGCTCCTTACCACTAGGATACTGAGATCCCTACAGGTGGTGGTGTTGTTAGATGCTGTCCAGTTGAGTCTGACTCACTGTGACGCTATGAACAATAGACTTCAACCTATGCTATCCTCATCATCTCTGACACACTTGAGCCTGCTACTGGAAGTCATTGCATCAACCGGTCTCTCTGAAGGGTCTTCCTGTCCTTCAATGACCCTCTATCTTTCCAAGCATGATGTCCCTTTCCAAGGAATAGCATCCCCTAACTACATGTCCAAAGTATGAGAGACGAAGCACTCCGGCTGCACTTTCTCCAAGACATATCCATTTGTTGTTTTTTCAGTACATGGATACTCAGTACTCTTCTCTGACACCATGGCTCAAAGGCATCAATTCTTTCTCTCTCATCTTTATTCACTGTTTAGCTCTCTGGTGCGTAGCAGGTAATTGAGAAGACCACAGTCTGAATCAGGTGCATCTTAATTTTCAAACTGACATCTTTGCTCTTAAATATATTGGAGAGGACCTATTAGCAGACTTGTCCAATACATTATGTTGCCTGGTTTCATGACTGCTGGCTGGCAGCAGGGTGTTGATTTTTAGTTTAGAATGGAAGACTTAATAGAAACAAGCATTACAAAGAAGAAGTGGAAAAATTGAAAGATTACAAAAAAAAAACAAACAAAAAACAAAAAAAAACCCCCAAAACCCTACATCCAGAAATAGATGTATGGGACATTTACTTTAGTGTAAAAGAAACCAAGAATGAGACTATGAGTTTGAAGGCCTGGGTTCTACCCTTGGTTTTGGATAATACTGAGCTGTAGCAATACTGAAAGTCAATCACTAAGTTTATTTTCTCATCTATAGAGTGGGTAGAATATCAGGTTTTCCTATGGCATTGGACTGTTGTAAGGAGCAGAGTGGAGAATTTGACTATGCAAATGCAAGGTGCTATAATTCAACTTCAACCGATTACCTGTCCTGAAGTCATAGCTTTCAGGTTGGCTGAGACCATCGATGATTACTTGTAAGGTAGGGACCGTAGTTTGCATTCCTTCTGCAATTTTTTGTATGCCATCCTTTTCAAGCAATGAATTTATTTTTTGTTGCATTTCAGGCTTTCCAATCTCGTGCAATGTCCCTCCAATGGCTGATAAGAACCTGCAAAAGAGGAAAAGGGGAGAGAAGAGGGACATTTATTAAAAATATTGTTAATTTGCCAATATTTTTATATAGATCATCTTGTGAAATTCATTAAGTAATCAACCAGTTTTTGAGTATCTACTACATGTTCCTGATTGTAAACCATGCAGTGCTCCCTCATTCTGTTCAGTCAACTGCTTCTTAGTCTATGTTTATGTTTTACATGAGCACATTTAAGTGTTCTTGGATTCCTATTCTCTGAATGTTATCCATAACTTATTATAATCCATACATTTTTTACACTCCATAAACGAGGAAAGGTGTGAGGGTTGTATCCTCTCTCAACACCTATTCAACAATCTGCATGCTGTCAAATCATTCGAGAAGCAGGACGATATAAAGAAAAATGTGGAGTCAGGATTAGTGGAAGACTCATCAACAACCTGCATTATGCTATGATATACCTTGCCTGTTGAAAGAGAAAACTTGAAACACGTGCTGTAGAAGATAAAAGACTACAGCCTTTAATATAAATGACTTTTTAAACCAAGAAAACAAAAATCCCCACCACTGGATCAAGGAGGAATACCACGATGGAGAAAAGATTGAAGTTGTCAAGAGTATAATTTTATTTGAATCTAAGATTACCATTCTTGGTAGCAGCAGTCAAGAAACAAAAAGACATGTTACACTGGGAAAACATCTCCTGGCAAGGACCTCTTCAAAGTGTAAAAGAGAAAGGATGTCAGTTTAAAGATTAAGGTGCTCCTGATTCAAGTCTTGGTCTTTTCAATTACTTTCTATGCATGTAAAGTTAGACAATGACTAAGGATGAGAGGAAAATGAATGCCTTTGAGTTGCAGTACTGGAGAAGAGTACTGAATGCCAAAAGAACAAACAAGGCTTTCTTGGAGAAAGTACAGAGAGGCAGCAGCACCTCTTAGTGCTGATAGGCAGGCAGCAGCTCACAGGGCCTGGATGACAGGGAACAGTGGCTGGATCTCTGACAGATGAGGTAGATGTCATGTGCAACTTCTGCCCTGAGCCAGCTTCCTTTCACAACTCTCTAAATAATAAACACCGGACTGAGTAGACTTCTCTGGTATTCACTTTCAACTCCACTCGACTGCAATTTGGCAGTTAAGCAGAATGTCTTTCAATGCCCAAGATTATGACATAAAATCACCTGTTAATATGCCAAGAAAGTGTATTCATGGGCTGTAAATCTATAACTCTAAAAAAAGTATTTGCTAATTAATAAAAATTAAGTGGCAGAACTTCCCAGAGTTCTTGGCCTCAGCAACAAGAACACCAGCATAGTAAACCACTTGGAGTCTTGAAGGTATATGCACATTTGTGTGTCCTTGTCAGACAGAGGATGAAAAGAAATAACTGATATCAAAGTAATTCTTATAAAAAATTATGTTTATAATTCTTGTAGATGTAAAAAGAAAAGTGGTCTATTTAAGCTGGGTGTATATATTTAATTTTAATTCTCACACATGCAAAATCAATTTCACTGGTTACTGAAATCAGGTGGGAAAAATAATAAAAAGGATCAAGATATAACTGTTGGAGTCAATTACAATTCATAGTGATCCTATCAACAATGGATCTGAACCTTGCACTAACCTACATCATCCTCATAATCTCTGATACGGTTGAATACACTGTTTCTGTGTCAGTCTGTCTTGGTGATTAACATCCTCTGGTCCTTCACTTTCCCCAGCATAGTAACTTTTTTGAAGGACTGGGCACTCTTGACAACATGCCCGAAGTATGTTAGACAGAGTTTCACTATCTTTACTTCTAAAGAGCTGTATTCCTCCAAGACAGATTTGTTTGTTCTTTTGGCCTTCATGGAATACTGAACTGCCATCATGACAATTCAAAGGCATTAAATCTTCATGAGTCCTCTGAATTCGCTGTTTAACTTTCAGATGCAAAGGAAATTATATAAAATACAATGACTTGGATCAGGAGGACCTTAGTCTTTAAACTGCCATTCTTGCTCTTTAGCCCTTTGGAGATGTCCTTGACAGCCTATTTTCCCAATGCAACATATCTTTTCATTTCTTGACTGCTACAACCATGAGGGTTGATAGTGGATCGAAGATGAAGTCATTGACAACTTCAATATTTTCACCATCTATCATGATATTGCCTATTTGTCCAATGCTGATAATTTCTGTGGGTGTTTTTATGTTGAGTTGTAATCCATATTGAAGATTTTATGTAGTCCCTGATCTTCTGCAGCAAGTATTTAAAGTCTTCTTCAATTTTTGCAAGAAAGCTTGTGTTATTTGCATAATGCAGGTTGCTGTTGAGTCTTTCTCCAATCCTGCTGCCAAATTTTCTTTCATAAAATCCAGCCTCTCAAATTATTTGCTCAGCATACTGACTGAATATGGGGAAAGGATTTATCTCTGAGGCACACTGTTTCTTGATCTTAAACCATGCGGTCATCTCTTGTTCTGTTCAGACAACTCCTTCATGGTCTAGGTTTAAGCTTCATAAGACTATAATTAAATGTTCTGGGATTCCCATTCTTCTCAATGTTACTCATAATTTGTTATGATTCGCAGTCAAGTGCCTTTGCATAATCAATAAAGCACAAGTATACACCTTTCTGGTATTCTCTGAACTTAATATTCATTAACCTTATTTTAAAAAGACTCCTTGCATCTAAATTCCAAAATCAATCTCCAAAATAGTCTACGTGTTTCCTACGGCCAAAGGGACCCTTTAGAGTAGTGAGAGAAGATCTTCACCCTGAAACCTATAGAGTCGCTCTTCAGAAGGAAGTAGCTAAGAGAATATGCCGTCCCCTTTTCCTTATGAATCAGGGTGAAATCTCTCTCAGGGAGGAGTGATAGGGAATGGCAAAGGACATACTAACAAAGGAGATTATCAGAACTGGTTTTGACAAGCACTGTGGCAATGGGACAATTAAAACAGACTTTCAAGGGGGGGGGAAGGGAGTAACGAACTGGGGGGTGGGGTAGAGAAAATAATGCAACAATGAATGAATGGAAATCCAAAATCTCTGTAAATGTTCATTAAAATTAATTTTAAAAAGGCAAAAAAATGGTTATAAGAGTTCATCAACAGAGCACTGCTAAAAATTCAAGATAGAGAAGAGTGCTGAATATACCATGGACTGCCAGGAGAACAAACAGGTTCGTCCCGGAGAGAGTGAAACCAGGCTGCTCCTTGGAGGCAAGGATTCTGAGGTTTTGTCTGACATACTTTGGGCATGTTGCAATCATGGTTTGAAGGGTGGAGGGACAGAGAAAGACAGGAAGATCCTGGATAAGATGGACTGATTCAGTGACTGGGGTAATGAGGGTTGGTGTGTCAGAGACAGTAAAGTTGGCACAGGATAGAGGAGGTTTCAGGGCTACTGTACATAGGGTCGCTATTAGAAACGAACAACTCGACAGCAAATATCAACAACAACAATATCTATATAATTATATAGGGCTGGGTTGGTTTTGTTTGTTTGTTTTTTACTCAGTAGCTATTTAATAAAAATCCTAAATAAGTATTCCTGGAAGAATTAATAATATATATTCTGAACTTCCATTAAAAAATGTAATTTTATAAGTAACATACCAATACAAAGTTTCAGTACTGATTATGTGTTCCAGCTCAGAAGCATTAAATTGAAATACTGCCTACTCTTTGAATCTTGATCTTGGAGTGCTGGATATAAATGAACACAGCCTAGTAATTTAGTGCCAGGTATCAGGCCAGTACTTAAAAAAAAATATTCTAAAAAAAAAAATTAAAAAGTTCTAATTTAATCCTGACAATAATTGTAAAATACAGATAAGAAAAACTGAAGCTCAAGTAATTGAAATAACTTGGGTAAAGCTTCACAGCCACTTTTACTAACTGGCACTGCGTACTAAAGTCCAGTCTTTCCACTAGGCCATCCTACTTCTCCAAATAAAAGAAAGTAATGCCAGATAGTGACATTAAAAACATTAAAAATACCACACACACACTCACACACCTGTTAGCTGAAAATTAAAAGTGTTATATTGAGAACAACGACATTTTCTATACATTTCTCCAATACAATTTAATGCCAGATTACTTTAGACATTAGTTAATACTGAGTAAATATCATAATAAAATTATTATACACATGCTTTAAATAGGCAATTCTTTCCAAAGTCAATGAGTTATTAAAGTCAGAGTCTCATTTCTCCACTGTCTCTGGAAGGCTTTTTCGGTTTGTTAAGGACTGCTGTTTGAGCTCTGTTTTTATTTAATATGTAATTTCATCCATCTTACATAAAGCAAGAAAGTAGCATAAATGCAACAAATAAGCACATCATGTTCTTTTAGCATACATCTGCACAAAGTTAAAATACAGACTGTGAAGCAGAGATAATGCTTATTCTTGAAACAAAATGTTATAGAACCTCAAATCCCTTATATTTTCAACAGAAGCACCTTACAAATTCATCCCTTCGTTTGTCCTTTGCGCAAAACAATTAAAAAAAAATTGTAAGATTTATCCCAAAAAGGAAATTCCCAAAATTCATAAGACTTCTGACAGAGCCTTGCAGTTTTCTGTAATGATTTCCAGCATGGAGATTTAGGAGCTGAGGACTTAGCTCATTACATTAAAGCAACATGATATCCCACAGGCATAGAGGGGCCATGGGGATGCAGCAGAATCACTTTAAAAACAACTTAGTACTAGCATGTGTGCTGTGGGAAAAACACACGTGACTTATAATTCTGCACGTTTACATAATAATGGCAAAGTTCTAGTTTTCTTTCTAGTGATCTTTAACACATTCAAGACACTTAAAAATTGGTTGCTTTTATTCGCTTTATAGTAATTACATCAATAGGAAAAAAAATAAGTACAAGAGCAATCATACTAGAAATAAGTACGTACGTTAATGATTTCAAGGAGCTTATACTCTAAGAGGAATTTTTATTATTTAGGCTATGACTGTAGATCTAGCTACACATTGGATAATAAATAAAAGTTCAGC